GAATGTTACATTGCACAGGCATGTGTTATTTTTTTGTCTATAAATCACACAATAGCCCGTATATTTTATGTAATTAGACTTATTTAAGTAGTTTATTTATAAATCTCGCCAAATTTTGCTTTTGTTACTTTAGATTGCCTGTTTGTTTGTATATTTTGATGATTGTTGTTAACGATTATTTTGAGATAGTGTTGATCTTGTAAGCATACATATTATCGATATTCTGTTATTAAAACAATTCACTATGAGGTTTTTATTGTTTTATTATTATTATTTCAAGTTTTCCTACAAATGAAAAAAGGAAGAAAGAATGGTTGGAAATCATAGGTACTGGAACATGATAACTTGAGGGTTGAGTGTTAATTTTATTTAGTGAAGGAGTACTAAGAACGGATTTTTCAAATTCATCCCCTAAGAGGGCGAAAACGGTTAAAAACATTTGCATGAAAAATAATATTCCTTGAAATTACAAAGGCGAAACTTTGCATAAATATTTTACAATAAAAATGGTAAAAAAATGGCATGACAGTTTTTAAAAAATGCGGCGAAATGGGGTAATAAAGTTTGTATGGTAACTTTTTAACACGTGGTGCGATTTGGTTCATACTTGAATATTTTTCATTTGTATAAAAATTGTACGCGGACGAAGTCGTAGGGAAAAGCTAGTACATGATAATTGTTGATTTCCGATAATTGATTTTTACAATTAATACTACGTAATGTTAAATACAAGTAAAGTAGGTATAATTAAGCAAGAATGCGCATGTCGCCAACAAACTGCACAGCAGTTTGGTGACTTTTACTAAATAAGTTACCAGTTGTAATGTTGAAAATAAATTTTTTTTGAAGTTTAAAAATGTGTGTTGACATTTATAATAATATACCACTCGAGATTAAATTATCAGACTTGTGTTTGTTTAGGCATACTTTGGTTACAGTAAACTAAAGAAACAAAAATTCAAGCCATACATTTGCATGTCGATGATGACTTATCGATAGATTATGGTACAACACTAAAGAAATCCGCCATTTGTAACTTTCAAATTTTGGTAATATGCACGTTGATTCTGTACTTAGGGCAGCTCCTTTCTTTTATTTTTTTCCATCCTCTAAGAATAAACATCAGATCTGACAAAATATAGTTTCAAACCACGGTAGAAAAAAAAACAATCTAAGTGCCGCCATTACTACTAGAACTGGACAGCAGTCAAAACTCACTCGTTCATAATTTGAAACACTATGAAATCTTGATAATGATTGGTTAGAGTTTCTAATTTAACACAAATTCTGGACTAAGTATAATTTAAACCTTACACTGTTGGCGTATCGTTGAAAGTTGAATACCTATTATTGCAAGTTACGATGTTTTGATTTTATACTGAAATTTCAATCAATGTGCCATCTAGCTGTCGATAGCTAAACGACAGCGAATTCCTGAAGTTTACTTAGTTCTTAGTTCTTATCTATTATATGAAACACCAGCAAGGATAATATTACAAGTGCCACTATCATTTTTGCGCTAAAAAAGCAAAATAAGGTATTTTTTAAGATTTTCGATTATAAATGACACGTCCATAACGTACAAAGCGAAAATGGCAGTCTGAGCTCAAGTATGCAGAACTCCGCGTAATCCGCACTAACATGCAAAAGTCAAATAGGCTACATGTTTCAGATACGCGGAATTATCCAATGCTAGTTACACGGAATAGCACTATCCCCGACGATATGCGCTTTTATTGTAATTGTCTTGACTGAATAAAGATTTATTATTACGTCCGGGCCTTATGGTAGTTTTCTATTTAAACTTCTATCTAAGCAATTTTGAATTCTGCAGAGCCGTATAGTAAACAGAATGCCAGGCTTAATAATGAAATTAATTTCTACATCACTATCAATGAGAAGTACCCAACGTTACATGATTGCAATAAAGTTTATATGTTTGTAGTTATTTATACGTCGTGGGTCAAAAGCAGAAAAATGAACCAAAACGGAAAACGTAATTCAACTGATAACTAACGAAACTGACACATATGTCAAGGTCACTATACTAATATCTTAGTGTGGCTTCTGATGAATTTAAATTTGAGTAAGTAAAATGTCATAACATATTTACCAAAATATTTATTTTTAATTAAATTTTTATTGAATTGATATTCAATTATTTTTTGTGAAATTACTCCACTAGTTTGTTATAATTATTAATACAAAGTTCGAACAATCAGAAAAAACACTCAGAAAAAATTCCTTCGATCCGGTCGGATTCGAACCGACGTCTTCTTGCATACCGTGCCAGACGCTATACCAACTAAGCCACGGAACGAACCAACGGACCTCACGAATTTCTCTATGTGCTTGCGTCGTGTCTTTGTACTTGGTCTTTCAACGACTTTTTTAGTCGTAGCGCCATCTATGAGAAATCTTTGACAGATTTATCACCCAGTTAGTACCTTTACAGCTACCAGTCCTGGCGAGAGATGTCGCTATTCACTGTATTATTAAATTTTTATTGAATTGATATTCAATTATTTTTTGTGAAATTACTCCACTAGTTTGTTATAATTATTAATACAAAGATCTTTTTCTTTTTTCTTTCTTCTTAATAAAGAGATTAGTTGGTATAGCGTCTGGCAGGGTATGCAAGAAGACGTCGGTTCGAATCCGACCGGATCGAAGGAATTTTTTCTGAGTGTATTTTCTGATTATTAGATCTTTGTATTAATAATTATATTTATTTTTCTTTATAACTTAGCGAACTTCCGCTCTACAGAAATCATATTATTCATTACGTCAACATGAAATGTACTCATTTACGCATCATGATGAGCACATACATCTAGCGAGGGAAATTTTGCTTGGATAGGATACTATAATACACTATAAGAAAATAAAAATATTTAAAACAATAAACCTTCTTAACGTATTACAATATCTAAAATTGAAATTGCGGTCTTGATCTTATTTTCTTTTACTATTACTGTACTATTTCTTCTTTATTTTCTTTTATTCTCACTCTTCTTATTTACGTCATTCTGTCTTTCTATACTTTTTCATTTATTTTTTCTTTAAGTAATGTGTTTATTTATCTTTAGTTGATTTTCTTTTCCTTTTGCTTCATTAGATCCACTTAACTTTCCTTTTTACTTTGTTTTTGAGTATCGCTTAGATACTTTATTTTCTTTATACATAGGGCGCACTATAAGTTTCCGGAACGGCAACTTATATAAACAATTTTAAAAAGTAAAAAAAATATTTAAAAAGTCATTACAACATTTAAAAAGGGAACTTTTTGGCTGTAGATTACAGTTTGTTTTGTTGTAGTGTTGTCTACATCACCATGGATTTAACTCGTGAAAATTTTCGTAGTATGATTTTCTACGACTAAGTATAATTTAACAGCTCAGCGGAGCTTCCCTCGGCTGCAAACTGCTATTGGCGATGCAGCACCATGCAATACGACTATTTATAGCTGGTTTGCAGAATTCAAACAATTCAAAAAGGTCGTGTGAATCTCAGTGACGAATTTCGTGATGGTCGTCCGTCCACTGCTGAGAACAACAAAAACATCGATGCTGTGCACCGTAAGATGAAAACAGACAGGCATGTGATATATACCATGAGATTCGGGCATTTTTAGGCATAGGCATGAGTCAAATACAATCAATACTACACAAAGAGTTGGGTGTGAAAAAGCTGTGCTCTCGGTGGATCCCACTTAATTTGACTGAGGCTCAAAAAACGGATCGCGTCTCTTGGTGCAATGCCATGCTTGTCAGATTCAACGAAGGGGCGTCAAGTTTGGTATGGGACATAGTAACAGGTGACGAGGCGTGGATTTATAGTTGCGATCCCAAAACAAAGCAGCATTCGAGCGTATGGATCTTTCGAGATGAGCCGAAACCAACCAAAATAGCGCGCGTGCAAAGTGTCTCTAAGCTGAAGTTTGCTTCTTTTTTTAATAAAACTGGATACGTGGCTACTGTTGCTTTGGAGAATCGTTGTACCGTGAATAGTGATTGGTACACGACCATTTGTTTGCCGGAAGTTATTGACAAACTTCGTAAAAATAACCGTAAACGCCGTATCATCTTGCCCTACGATAATGCCAGCTCTCACACGGCCATACAGACAAATGAATTTTTGAAGGTGAACAACGTTGTCCTTATGAGCCATCCCGCGTACAGTTCCGACCTGGCACCTTGTGACTTTTATTTATTTTCAAAAATTAAGAACCAGTTACTCGGTCAACGATTTTCATCACCTGAAGAGGCTGTCGAAGAGTATGAAAAATGTGTTTCAGAGATTGTCACGGACGAGTGGCATAAATGTTTTCAAAATTGGTTCATTCTGCTAACGGAGAATATTTTGAGAAACAATAAATTCATTTCTGACCATTTATAGTATTTTTTCCTTATTCATTCCGGAAACTTACAGTGCGCTCCACGTATCTGTCTAAATGTTTTTTTTTTCAAAGCTTCATATTCAACGGGGTCATTTTTCACATCACAACCATTGACTTACAAATAAATGGACGACGGGTCTAATACAAAAACCACGAAAAAAATGTCCCAAGTCAACCTATTCGAAATTTAAATTGTAATGTCATCGCAGTATCGCGCTGTCAGTAGAACAAATGAAGACTAAAGCGGAGTGTCGCGCTCTGTATACGATTTTAGCGCCTTACAAGTGCGGACACTTTTTAGCGCGGACCCGACGTCCATATAATTGTAAGTCAATGATCACAACTAAAGTTTGGCAGTATAATTGCATAAAAACATAAGTTATTAATTGTAACAGATACAACGGTCCCGGAAGGACATTTTAAAAAGTATTTACGGTATTTCAACCTCTTTTTTTTGACATTGAAAGTACTGAATATATTGTATAATTTTACCCTAGAATTAAATATTTCATGGGTGGAAAGAATTAACGTGCCAGGAAAGAAAAAGTTTTTAGTTTATTTTCAAAATAAAATTTTACAAAGCAGTTTTAAGTTAAGAGTCATGTAAATTTTAAAAAGGTACATTTTCTTCCGTATCAATCACTCAATAAATGATAATTCCGTTGTAGTTGTAGTTGGTTGGTTGGTTGTAGTGGTTTCAATAAACTGTGGGGTGCCGTATTGATGCAAAACTTCCTTCATCACACACTGCATAAAGTGATACGCTTGATCACATAAGTCTTCTTTCACTGCAAATATTAAAAGAAACTTACAAATATTATCTAAGTAGCATTAAACTCCACTAGATGGCGAATGTGGTATTTAACATCGATAACATTATATCTGATTGATTTGTCACAATTTGTCTAGATTTTTAAGCAATACTTCAATTGCCGCGTTAGAACGTCAATGTTACTACGCGATTTATATTGTAGTTATCCCAAAGTTAGATCTTTAAAAATCAACAAATAATAAAAATTACTTATTACATTTAAGCCCTGGTAGCCTAAGGATTTGACCTACCGCTTTTGAAACAGAGGCCGTGTATTCGAATCCGGGTTCGCACCTCTGAGGTTTTCGGAATTTACGTGCGAAATTTAATTTGGAATTTACCATGAGCTTTTTGATGAAGGACACATAACCTTCGGAAAACGAGTTCTCAACTCACAGTGGGCCAGCGTGGCGGACTATGCAGCTATGGCGTAAACCGTCGCCTGAGGCAGGGCTCGCTCACTCGTTCAAGGTTATGCGATAAGTGCCTACGACTGAGTGTACCGATGTCGTCACAAGTCTTTTATTTGCGAGCATTCGGCTCCGCATGACTGCACATGGTGGGTAACGTTATCTTCTCCTCTCTGAGCGCGTGCTTAGGTTCCTTTTTCCTCGTAGTGAGCGCCTGGTGTCAGACGCTTACTACTAGTGAGCCAGGCTATTATAGCGTAGGTATTTTCGATTTTGTATGAGAGTGATGTATGTATCTGTTACGTAGTAACTATTATGTGATCTATGCCTGAGCCCTGCAGTGTGAACCTTTGTTCCTACTAGTGAATTCTTATATTTCATCTTTTAGCACTTTTGATGCCACTCTTCTAGAGATCTTCCGTCTACGTAAGTGTACATAATAATCTTCCTTCTCATAGTCAGTTCCATGATTTATGCAGCCTGACTGGAACCGCTAACATATAATAATAACTCACCTTGTTTCTTGATACACTCCTCGCTTATAGACTCAACATTTTTCATCACAATACTTTTCGGCGGGGAAAAAAGAAAGCAGGCTTGTTTCGGGTCATAGTGGCCGTCTTTAGAATCTGTTACTCCTGTCATTTCTAGCATGCATAGAAAAAAGCACTAAAACAGTAATAATTTGTTGGTTTTTCAAAGGGGTTTATTTGATCCTCAAAGATATAATCGATCTATAGTAAATGTGCATTTTTTTAAATAAACGATATTTTTTTTATGTTTGATATATATAATTATTTCATATATAGTAGATGATCTACGGATAAATTGTAAATGAACTGCATTCAAGATGACACTATCATTATATTTAAGCATACTAAATTAATATTTGGTATTCGAAAATAATATTTGATCCTCTTTTTTTATGATTGATCTCTTTTAACGATTGATGTTATTTATAACCAGTATATCATTTGATATTGATCTTCTAATAAATCTTGATTGCTTGGTTGCGCCTTCCATTTAGTAAGTTAGGTTTTAGGTAGGTTAAGCAAATTTGTTTGCATTTCCGAATATATTTTCAGGTCAAATTATATTATAATTAATATATATTAGTTCACAAATATAATCAACATTTACTTAGTTTTAAAATAAGCATCTAAGTTTTATTTTTAATGCTCATTTGTCTTAGTTTTGAGGCCCAACATAAAACTATTAAAGTTAATTTATATAAATCAATTTTTTTACGTGTCTCAGAACAGATTAAAATATCTATTGGTTTAATTTATTTTATGCCCCAACGAAAGAAGATCAATCATTAAAAAATATGACTACTTTTCGGTTTTAAAGGGTGAAATTATAGGCATATGGGACTTGTCAATGTTCTTCCGTAGCTTGATTTCATAAAATAAGCTCAATATTTTTTTTATTAAAAAATAATTATGGATTTTCATCTCACATAATGGAAAGTGACGATGAAGTCAACGATGGAGCATGCACACCCAAAAAATGCCTATTCACTCTTGCCTTGAGAAGTTATACCGTTCTGGAAACAAGTGTGCAGGCAAATGTGGAAGTGAAACACTCATGGGAATCCTTGGAGTATCCACAACATGAGGGAGTTGTCGTGCTGTTCAAGGGGATGTTCAAGCGGAGTCATAAGCCTCCAGCAGTTCATCAGTAGATGCGTGTAAGCTGATGATGATGAGGGTCGGAACCCCAGCCTACGTCTGGTTCCCCAATGATGAAAAGGGGAAGTCGGAATTAAATCGTGCAATTCCCTCGCACAATCGCTATGATGTACCCTGTACAATACCGGTAAGCAGGCAACTTTATGGTGGTGTTCAAAGCTCTGCAGCTTCACGGCTACTAGTTCATTTATTGACCTACACTGTTCCATTGTGAATAGAGGTTTTTGTTAAAGCCTTCAGGTGGATTTATGGCTTTTAGACCAGTTACACATGGCGACTTTTAAAAGCGATGCGAACGCGATACAGTAGCCATGCGGTCGCGTCTACCTTTACACACACGCGCGATTATAAGCAGCGATGCAAACGCAACACAAGCGCGCGATTGCATCGATGCAAACGCCTATAAATCCCAAGTGTCCCAATTTTATTGTTGTCTCAAAAAAATTGTCCTAAAATTATAATGACGCAGGTCTTTCATCTTGATGCTACTTACCTTAGCATTTCTGTCAGTTTCATCTGCTATTTTACCAGTTAGTATAAAAGGAATCATGAAATCTGGAAATATTATTCGATATCAGAAAAACGATCTTGATCGTGTTGGATATTTTTATAGTAACTAAGACGTAAGCTGACAAACGTGGCCGTTTTCCATTAATGATTATACTTACCTTAGGAAATGAAACTATTTTGCCAGATTTAAATCGCGTATATTTGTTTTAGTTAGTACCTGTACCACCTCAGTCAACCGTGACCATGGGATCTGTAAAGGGTCCGAAACGTCGGTTTGTTTGAAAAAACAAATATACGCGATTCGCAAGCACGCACGCACGAAGCACGCACGCACGCACGCACGCATGCACGCACGCACGAACGCGGGCGCGCACACACACACACACACACACGGTCTAAGTTACAGTAACAACGTTATATTTATTTATATAAATATAAAACTTATTGCAGAACGAAATTCAGGCCCCAATCACAGTATTTAAGCCATTAATAAATTATTGCATATTTGTATTCAATACGCAATATTAACGACCTCCGTGGTCCAGTGGATTGCACACCGGTTTTCATGGTGCCGCCATCTCTGAGGTTCCGGGTTCGATCCTTGGTCACTGTAATGCTACTGAGACTCGACATTGCGATTATATTGCAATTACGATAATATTTGCTATTCTGCAAAAATTTTGTTGCAATGACAGTTGAGTCACAATAGAGTGTCACTGGAATGGTAGTGATGGCATTTATTTATTCTATCACTAACAATCGATGCTGCCTTACTAAAACTACCATGGAAATTACTAGGTATGTATGTCTTATTTTTTATCTCGTTTATTAGACACACACGGTTCACGAGTCTTTCACTTGTGTTTTTCACTTGCTTGTGTAACTCTCTCCGCGCATACGCAATGATCTGTCTTGCTTTGCGTTGCGTGTGTTTGATATCTAGCATGTTTGATATTTCCACGCAACCAACAGGGAACGTTCGCGGAGGACAGCACCATTGGCCAATCACAGAGCAGCAGCGTCTATGCGTCCAATAAAACCAAAACAAAGACAAGGCGCCGCGCATGCGCGCAAGTCTCTCCGCAACGAAAAGCGGAAGACTTGCGAGCGCCTTTGTGCGGAAAGCAGATTTCTACGCCGTGACTCAGCCAAGGCAAGCAAGCGAAATACGTAAGTGAAAAACTCGTGCACCCGGCATAAATCAGCAATTTAATGTCAAATAATTAGTAGACTACACCATCGACGTGCAATCTGCAGAAAGAGCAGAATATCAAAAACTTGCAATGGCAGTTGAATTAGCTCGATGGCTAGCCACTGAATACTGTAACATAGGACGTAGCTCAGGTAGTGTAGCGAGAGATCTTTTTAAATATAAACCGGGAATATCTTCATAAATAAATATTTATTACGTATTTCACATGTTGATTTTTGGAGGCTTCTTCTAGAACTGCCAAGATGTTCTTCTTTTTTCTATCCTATTTTTAAAATACATTCTAAACATAAATCTATATTCATTCAGCCAGTACTTCTACTCATAGAGTAGAGCCTAGACTACAATACCAAACGTACAAAATCTTGCCATTGACACTCGACACACGACTAAGATGATTTAAAATTAGCAGGCCATGGGGCTTGGGTCAATGTAGAAAAATGTCCTTTATACATTTTTGAAATTTTGTTATTCCAAATAATTTTAAAAATACCTAGATAATTATAGTTATAATGCATGGCAATAAGTATCAATGTTAGTTATCCTTTCGAACCCTGTTCGACACTCTGTGCTCTGGAATACAGCGTTTTACACAGTTAGACAGCAGCTTCTTGGCAATAGTCATCTCACCTACGACGCTAAAATGTAATGTAGTAGTAGGAGACATGCCTGACATTGAACTATTCTGATAGATAAGAAATGATGGCCTAAGAATACTTGCGCCATACTCAAGAGGACCATAATCGGTATTTACTGTGACGGCCTACGTGGTCGAGTGGCTTGCACATCGGTTTTCATGGCGTCGCCATCTCTGAGGTCCCGGGCTCGATTCCCGCCCGAGTCAGTGTAGAAACTAACTTTTCTATATTGTCTCGGGTTTAGGTGTTTGTGGTACCGTCGTTGTTTCATATTTTCACAACACAAGTGCTACTTACTTTGGGATCGGAACGACTTATGTGATGTTGTCTAATATTTATTTATTTATCTTATTTCCATTCTTACCATCGTGAGAACTGTTGAACGTTGATTGACAAAGATCTTTGTATAGCATCAGGCCTTCGAAAATATTTTTTTCGGTTTCGGCATCTTGTTGCACTGGGGACTCGATCTTTTTTGTTGTTAAATCTGTTTGAGCAATCACAATGCTAACGGCTAGGACAGCTGTTACGATCCTTGAAATTAGGTACAACGAATACTTCGACATTTTTATGTGCTCCTTGTACTTTGGTTAGGGCCTGTACTGTTCATGTATGGGATAAACTAACTTTCCTTTGCTATCGTCTTTTTGCTATTGGATTAACGATCTTATAATTGTAGCGTGAAATGAAGTGAATTCAAGCATTTTTATTATGCTTAATTAATTTCAGGTGTTGATAACATTTTTATTGGTGTGACGTAACTCTTTAAAGAAAATTAATATGTGATGAAAAAGTACAGTGGAATCTCTGCATATGATTGTCTTATACAATATGTAACAAAAAGGACACTTGATTGTTGTATATTGTGATACAATTTAGTTACAGAAGAAAAGTTGAGAGTTCAGATTGAAGCTTTCTTTATAGTCAGGTCAAATTGCTGACAAAGTCTGTCAATTTGGCAGTTAGTCAAATACACAATGAAAACAATGCTGAAAATATGAAGAAATAAATTTATTATACGAAGTCAGTGCGGTTCATCGAAACATTGTTTTCTTTTTATAAAAAAATAATCGCGCATTTAACCTCTATCACATCTGATGGAAACTGACGATGCGGTTGACCATGGAGAATGCATTTTAAGCCGTTATTGTCCCACTGCAGGGCAAAAACTGTCTTTCCTTTCTCCACTTATCGCGATTTAACACCACTACAGGCCAAGATCTCAAACAAGAATCAAACTCATTACGCCATCTCCTTCTAGGTCTTCCACGTTTCTGTCTTGCGTTTGGTGGTAAGGCCTAAATAATGTCTATTCACTCTCGGCCCAAGTCAAAGCGCCAATAAATGTGGAAGCGAAACGCTTCGTGTGAATCCTTGGAATATCCACAATATAGGGGTAAAACCTCAGCCTACGTCTATGACGGGGTATATCTGGAATTTATGAATATAAATATATATTAATAGTTTATATATTTTTAAAGTGCTGAAATATCATCAAAATAAATAATTGGAAATGAAAGTATGTGTTTTTGGATCTAAATCGTGTATATTTGTTTTAGACTCTCGTTTCTCCCATGGCCTAAAATATTAATGCCCGTAACCCCGGTAATGACACAGTCGGCAGGGGTTGTGGGCTCAGGTTCAAGAAGCGGTAAATAATACGTGCCGTATCGAGCAGGACCACTTCTGTATTTGTCCTGGAAGTGACACGCCACAGAAATCCTACAGGCATATTGTTATTGTTAATTTTCACTTCTGCTATAAATTTAGTGTATCGGTACTGCACGCCATAATAAGGATGCATTCGAAATGTGATGCTACCGCCACATGCTTTGTTTCAGCTGGATGCAGAAAGTCAAGAACGAGACAGTATTCCTGCACAGTAACATTGAGGACCATCGAGAAACGCAAAATTACATATCTCGGTCACGTGCTTCGACCTGATAAATACCAACTGCATCTGCTTGTAATGATAGGAAAGGTTGAAGGCAAGAGACCAGTTGGAATACGTAAAAAGTCATGGTTACGCAATATAAAGGGAGTGGACCGGAGTCACGAGATCAGAGCAACTGTTTCGTTTGGCCAAGGACAGGGACAAATTTGTGGACAAACTTCCAGTAGTGGAGAGCCACTTTAAGAAGAAGAAGTGTCGGTGCTATAAACATAATAGTTTCTCTTGCAACCGCTAGGAACTTGCACAATTATATTGTAGTTGCATGTAAAAAGTTGATAACACCCGTCTCATAACATAACCTGTTTCTCGAGCTTGTTCAGTCCATTTCATTCAGAGTCAACAGGACAAGATGGCAAAAATGTTGAAACTTTACTCCTTCCTCATTTTGAACCATGTTTTTTGTTTCGTTATTAGTCAAAACCAAGCAATTGTGGAACACTGTAAACGTGAGTTTAATATTACAAGAGACGTGGGTAAGTAAGTAAATATCAAATACAGTAAATGATTATCACTAATTACAGGTTTATTACCACGGTATGAGTGCTTTTTATTTTCGTTCCGAAATATTGAGAAAACAACAAGGACTCATACCGTGGTAAGAAACCTGTAATTAGTGGTAATCATTGAAATAGTGAACAATGAAAGCCTTAAAATACCTGCTTTTTAAGAATAGTGGCCCAATCCAAATGTGATCCTTTTTTTACTTATTACTAAGATTAACTCAGAAAATGCTAAATTTTATTGTGAATGGTAGGTACTCCAAGCTAATTATATAGGGTGGCCGCAGTGGAGATGAAGTAAAGACGAGGAAATATGATGAATAACTATATTAAATTTCCACAAAGGTATTTCTTAAACTAAATAATTTTAAGAACGTCCGAAGTTAGGTACGTTAGGTCTAAAAGTACTTATACGAAAAAGATCTTAACTAAAGGAATTTTGTCTACGTCTGATGTTAGGAACGTTGGGCCGAAAAGTGTCTCATAATTATAATTAAAATGACAGAGTTTTGCATCGGTCACGTTGCAATGCACGGGGCGCGCGTTCCGGGGTGCGCGAATGCAAGTGCATTGAACTGACGATTTAGGTATGTGTGTTATGCAAATCTGGATACATAACAAGCTTTAAGTTAATTGATTGGAATAAACACGACATCACTGGGGTGGTCTACGATTCGTCAACTTATTGTGATAGACACATTTTGTTTTTTTCAAACCGATTGCCACAAACTGCGTGAGGTCGATACCCGGCAATGGGTGAAGTCAGGCTGTAGGTGATGACGATGAATTGAATTTGTTCAGTATTACTGGCAGTTATCCTTTGAAGTTTCTAACGTACTTTTTGACAGCCTTTATAGATTTCGATGCCTTTCTAGAATAGCGGCCTATGTCAAAAAGCATCTAATTTATAAGGGATCTCCCTTCCCGATAACATCTCCCTCCCCTCCCGCAACGATCCCGTACTAGTGTCTGGCATCTACGGCCCATAATTTTGACGATGATGTCATCCACCAGTCTCGCTACAGGACGTTTCTATAACCAACCATTCGGTTATCGCTTTACTCTATCTCGATACCTCCAATGAACACTACGCCATGCGCCAACTTAAGTTTTTGGTCAAATGTGTTTTTATTTTGTCTTTTGTTTCTTTTTTTTACATAATTCCTTTTTTGCTTTTCTTTAGTTTTTTCAGAAAATTCGGGGAGCGCAATATTAGTAAATAAAATAAGGCTGTTTACATTAAAAACAGAAAGTAACCAAAAAATTAAGTTGCCGTAGTGTTCGTTGTAGGTATCGATCTGTCTTCATCACGTCTCGCAATATTCATCCTGCCCAGTGCCATTTTAGTTCGTCTGTGTCCTGGACCTTAGTTCATCTTCGAATTTCGGAATATAGAAATCGGTCTGTAAGTTTGATGGGACAACTTCAATTATCATGGTTAAATTGCATGGGTTGAAGTACAATTGTAAAAAGAGTGAGCTGTTGGTATTTAAAGGCAGAAATAAACCTCCAGCATCTGTACCTCCTGTTTACCTCAATGGTGCGCCATTGCAGAGAGTCGCGCAGTTTAAATACCTTGGGCACATTGTAAATGAAGAGCTAAAAGATGACTGTGATATAGAAAGGGAACGTAGGGCTTTGTCGATAAGAGGGAATATGTTGGCTCGGAGATTTGCTGGTTGTACACTAAATGTTAAAATCACTCTTTTCAAGGCATTCTGCCAAACTTTTTACACCAGCAGTCTGTGGGCTACTTATACCCAAAAGTCGTACAACGCCCTGCGTATTTTGTATAACAACATGTTCCGGGTGTTAGTGGGGCTTCCTCGCCACTGTAGTGTGTCTGGAATGTTTGCAGATGCACATACAGACGACTTTTTTGCGCTTATGCGCAAGAAAGTTGCGTCATTATTCCACAGAGTGAGGGGAAGCCCCAACACTCTCCTACAGGTTGTTGCTGGAAGGCTGGATAGCGCTGTACTCGGCCGGTTCAACGAGATGCACGCACCATGTGCGAGTCGGTGACCCGGCTGACTATTTGTTGCTTTTATGTTATTATTTGATAAGTTATTTTTAGTTTGTCTTATTGTACTAACATAGCTATTAAGTCTTTCTGCTACTAACAAGATATGGACCAATTAGTTGTCTGAAAATAAAGATATTTTATTTTTATTTTATTTTATTTTTAAATTCACCCTTGAAATTGCAAATGTCCAGGGTGTGATTTATAAAAAGTTATTTATAAAATACTAACAATCTCGCAAGTCTACATATAACATCATAAACAATAATTTTTGCTCCACGACTTTTTACAAAACATAATAAATTTACCAAAAATAAACTTAAAAGTGTTTTTCTGAGTGTTCGATCTTTGTTTATTAATTATAACAAAATAGTGGAGTAACTTCACATAAAGAATAATTGAATATCAATTCAATAAAAATTTAAACACAATGAATAGCGACACCTCTAGCCGGGACTGGTAACTGTAAAAGTGTCTAACTGGGTGACGAAATATCACAGATTTCTCATAGATGGCGCTACGGCTAAAAAGTCGTTGAAAAACCAAATACTAGTAAGATAGGACGCAAGCACATAGAAAAATTCGTGAGGTCCGCTGGTTCGTCCCGTGGCTTAGTTGATATAGCGTCTGCCACGGTATGCTAGAAGACCTCGGTTCGAGTCTAGCCGGATCGAGAGATTTTTTTCTGAGTGTTCGATTTTTGTATTAACAATTATAACAAACTTTGAAGTTTTAGTTGTACTATCTTACATTTTTTAGATCTTTATTTGGTAGTAAGTTCAAACGTGCAAGAATCCACCCCGACATCTCCACCTGCGCTTCTGCAATTTGCACAGTGTTATCACCGCTTAATAATAATAATAATAAGCATTTATTTCGGACCTGAATCCATATATAATTAGTAACAGACTTATAAACTATGTTAGTAATTTACATTGTTTACTTTATTACATGACATTTACTTATGTACATATTTACGAGTACTTTTATTTTACAGCCCACTTAGAGGGCACTACATGCAACGAGTTGAGACGTTCATTGAAAGGACCATCAACTCTATTTGCTACTGTAGTAAGGAGGCTGTTGGTGCTGGCGCGCACCCGCTGCATTAGGGAGG